GAAGTAGGAGCTCTCCCTCCCCTCACCTCCTCCAGTCACACCCTGTGCAAGGCTGGGTCTGCTCACCAGTGCAAAGCTCTGCTCTGCCCATGGAGGGGACCACCCAGCTCTTAGATCCCACTGGGCACCACCCCAGCCTGGCCCTGGTGGAGATTTGGGAATTTCTGTGTAGGATCAGCATTAGGAACCCCAGTGCTTAATGACTCTGAGCACCAGCAAGGCTGTGGGCAGTCGCTCTCGCACACTGAGCCCCTGCATGCAGCTGGGTGTTCAATCTGAGATCACAAAAAGGTGGTTTGGTGTCCAAATGTCACACACTTCTCTGTGACACTGCAAAAAGGATATGTTTTCAGGAGGGGAATTTATGGCCATCTCTGCTTTAACGCAGTATTCTCCCAGCAGCAGGTTCCTGTGCTTCCTCCCACCTCAGTTCCCTCCTTGTCTGCTATCCAATTACAGTTTCTTCAGCCACTCCTCCTCAACCTCTCCTAGCATCAGAACACCCTCTATTTTGTATACATTTACATATGTGTGTCTATCTATGTACGTTTGTACACATATCATGGTAATCACCTTCCCTCTTCTAAATTTTTCCCACTATAAAAACCAATAGCCCTCCCCCTGACCTTACATCGAACTTGTACTAAAGTCATGGGAATTTCTTCTTTGACTTCATCTCGCTTTTAACCCAACCCCCCAAACATGAGGTCAAAACAAGTCCCCACCATAGGCTCTGTTCCTCATCCTGCAGTGTTCTGCATCGGACTTGAAGGAATGGTGTCTAAGAACAGATGGGGAATGGATTTTGTCTCAGCAAACCAATTCTACTCAAAGGGCAAGAAAGCTGGAGTCAATGGAAAATACAGGATTAATGAAGCCTTCCCAAAAGGGCACCCCACCTTGCTCAGCACTGAGAACTCACATCTAGAACACATGAATGAATTAACTTAGAACTTTTCTGCACCACTGAACCCTTCACAGTGTGTCACAGCCAAGGTTCAGACCTTCTTCTTACACTAAATGGTCTTTTCCACACAACAAATTTCAACACACGCTTCTTGACCAAAAACATAAAAGCATCTGACCTAAACCCAGTCCCAGCTAAACCCAGTTCTCCCAAGCCACGCAACAAAGTTAATCTCCACTACTGAGTAAATCAGGGCAGCTGCTCTCACATCAGCTGCAGAGGGAAGGCAAAAATATACACTGCCTTCTATGAAGATTTAAAGGTAAGGCGTGCTTGTGACAACTCCTCGTTTCACCAACTCTTCACCTTGCCAAAAGGAGTTCCATCCTCTGCCCTTTCTCTCCTGGTGGTAGAGGTGCATGTGTGGTCTCACAACAAACCACAGCAGAGAACCAGCAGAGCTGACAACAGGCAGGCACGACGGCTTCTTTCAACAGCAGTGCCAGCTGAGAGGATTTGTGCAACCACAGCCTGTTTATCCAAGCACGGAAATGTAGGAACTAAATGTGTGATTCCCTCTGGCATCTAATCCTGCTGTTGGAAGAGGTGGTCCCTCACCACATTTCTCATGCCCAGTGTCATGCTACACTTCTTCAGCAATCTCTCTGGACACAAGACAGGCTAATCCAACTTCTATACTTTTTTTCTTTAGGGAGGGGGGTTAATATTCAATTGGAGCAGTGACTGGACTGATCTGAGGCTACTTGGTCACCAGAGCTGATCCCAGGGAAGCAGCAGGAGCTGGCAGTCAGGACTGGATGAGAACTGGATCATTCCTTCAGCAGCAGCCTGTTGTGCTGCTGGGCTGCTCATTATGTGAAGCCCAGCTCCAAGCAACACGAGTTACTTAAGCAGTTCCCAGGAAGCCCTGCCTGCACAAAGACACCAGGCCAAGCACCTTCCATCACTGCTCTAAACCATGCTGATCACCAGACTCCAGCTCTATGGCTGCCCTCCTCCCAGAAGGAAGGGCTCAGCACAGCTAACAGCCATGGGCTTGCAGTAAAACAGACCATCTTTTATCTGGAATGTGTCATCCTGGCAGCAACAGGCTTTCATGTCAACCTGGCATGAAAACTTGTAGCAAGACTTTGTGGTTAGAAGCCAGGTCGGACAGATGGAGATAAGAAATTAGCGAGGGTAATCACCCATTGGAATAATTTATCCAGGGAACCAGTGCAGCCTATCGCTTGATACCTTGAAATCAAGACTGGGTACTTTTCTACGAGAATTTTGGATTCGATGCAGTGATAACCAGCTGGGAATGTAAATACCTGCCAGGGGTCAGGTGAAGGTATTTGTCCCCAGCTGGCTGATACCCTGAAAATCAACTGTGTGATTACCTCAGGAAAGAAGGAAATAACCTCTATGTAGAGCCCAATTGTCAAAACAATAGAGCACAACTGCATTTGCACTGAAGTCACTTCTGAGTACTTCATTAAAAGATTCAACAGGAGCTCAGTGAGGAGCTGCAAAGCGGAAAGGAATTGCAAAACTTCTGAGGCATGACTACTGAAATAAACTAGCAGTGGGTAATTTAGCCAAACAGTAACTAAGCAAACAACATCAACTGGAAAGATACCAGATGACAGAAAGCACAGTAAACACTTAGAATCAAACATCTTTGGAAAAAAATGTGATTCCAATTAAGAACTGGAAATCCCTTGCGGGCTGTTCCTTAAATTTTGCCTGGGATAACTATGGAGAGTGAATGTAATATGAATACAAACTAGTTAAATAAAACAGCCCATTTTAAACAAGACTTGAAAGTAGATTACATTAAAAAGAAAAAAAAGGAAATAAAAAAATCATCAAAAACTACAGCATAATTTGGCTCTTTACTGCTAGAAAGCACATGGAATAAGCGTTCCATAAGAAAGGATAAGATTCAACAGAACAAGCACAAGAACATCCATCTAAAATTAGCAGAATTAAAAAAAAAAAAAAAAAAAAGGCCTGCAGAACAGACTTACGGTCAAAATCTACCAGGATGCACACGAAGTTCTCAGAGGAACTATTTGTGTCCGACTATTTCAGAGAGCAGGAGCATCAAGCTCAAGCCCAGTTGCCTGCTGTCACAATCAACTGGACCGTATACCCCAATGAGACTTACGGACCACGAGGCTGCTGTACAGGCAGGACAAGACAAATGCCACCCTCAACCACAACGTGGCAAAACAAGGTTCTACACAGAAGCCTGATGAGCTCTTCATAACATTAACAAAAACTAAGAAGAACTCAGATATGTTATAACTTCAAGTCTGATTATGGATGCCTCCTCCTCACCCAATTCAGATGCAGTTCTGAAATCTGGGTCACCCATACATTATTCCTCCAAACCAAGCCACCTCCCTCTGGTGCAACCTTTTAAAAGTACTCTGCCCTTATCCAAGCCATCTCAAAGTCATTTAGGTTATGAGAAACTCCAAAACACCAGGGAATCAGGTCACAAAACTTCCAACAGCACATTACACATGTGGCTTGATCCAGGAGGAACAGGCACCCAGCTCCAGAAGAAGCCAACATAGGAATCCATATCCAGCAGCACCCTGGCAAAGTCTGCAACAAGTCAACACCGATGAGCTGAGCTCAGATCTCTGACCCCATAATTCCTACCAGGTTTGATGCAGTCTTAGCCAATATCTGGGAATAAACGAAGCATCAAGCAACGACAAACGCGGGTGCTGGGAGGACGATGGGTCAGGTGAGAGCCGTGGGAGCTCTGAATCCCCCCCTGGCAGGTTGGCTGGGGCGCTGGGGCTGCCATCGGAGCTGCTGCGGTGGCCGGGGCTGCGGGAAGGAGGCAGGAAGCGAGCAGCAGGCAAGGATCTCGCCTTTCGTTCCTCTGCCTTCCCTCCGTGACAGGCCATAAAAGTCACGAGGCAAGGAGGAAAACAAGGAGGTGTCCAGAGTTCAAGCACAGCACCCCCGCGACTCCCGGTCCGCAGCTCCCGGCGGGAGCTGAAAACCCGGCGAACACCGTGGGATCTCGCTCCTGCGTGGGAGGCACCATTTCTGCGGGAAGAGGCTCCTGCTGCTGCTTGGCAGCCGAGCCTGGGACCAGGCCTGCGCTCCGGGCCCTCCCTGCTGCCGGCAGCGGGCGGGGGAGCGGGGGGCGGCGGGCGGGACGGGCGCTGCCGTCGGGGCGCGGAGCCCCCGCCAAGGATGCGGCCCCCGGCCAAGGACGCGGCCCCCGGCCAAGGACGCGGCCCCCGGGGCGGCCCCAGGCCGGGCGGATCGGAGACCCCCTTCGCCGTGCCCTCGGGGGTACCGGAGCTCCCGCGGCGCCCGGGACCCCGAGGGGCTCCGCGCCCCGCTGGCGTCCGCACCGCGCACTCGCACCGGGCCCGCCGCGGGAGGAGCGACGCTCGCCTTCCCCGGAGATCCCTCCTCCCGTCCCCCTCGGGTCCTAAAATGGTGGGTCGGCCGCCCTCCCTCCCCTTCCTTCTCCCCCTGGTCCCGTCCC